AGATCATGACCTGAGCCAGAAGTCGGACGCTTAACCAACTGAGCCACCCAGGCGCCCGTGTTGTTGTTGTTGTTGTTTTTTTTAAATCATGAATTAGTTTCCTAGCATAGAGTCTTATACACCAAGTGTTGTCAGGCCAGTGGTGCTAAGAGTTTCTGGAGGTTAATGTAAGTCAATCCAACTCCTGGAATCAGAGGTCCAGAAGGGACTTCAGGAGATTAGAATTTCACAGCCAGAAGGATTTTAGAGAACACCTCATCTCTGTCTAGTCACAAGGAACCTAAGGGCCAGGGAAGTAGAGTGCTCCCCAGCCAAGTGAACTTCCAAGCCAGCACTGGAACTTAGAGAGTTGAGACCTGCTTCTCCCCACACACCTTCTCTCTTCACCTTCATGCTTCAGCGCTTGCTTTAAACCAGGCTCAGGGAAACAGCTCTTGACTCTATGATACAAATCTTCAGTTAAGGAGACAGAGCAGCTTCTTTGAGAGGGATCACCAAATTTTATGGCAGTAAAGGAATAAACAACGCCTTTCCTGGAAAGCGCTGCTCAGTGAGTCCTGCTCATAGAGATATGGCTTGTTCTGAACAAATGACAGATATGCAGAATAATCCATTATTGCTGGTGTCAGAATCAAGGAGTACCTTCCAGCCCCTTCAAGCTGTGGCATTTCCTGTGCTCATAGATGATGTGGCTTTTAGAAAAACAAGCCTTAACTGTGGCTATATTAAGATGGTGTGACCTCCTTTGCTATTCTGGGACCCATCTTAGTTACCAAGCTTCAGCTTGGGCCAAGGATTAAGAACTCCTTCCATCAGGATGGAATTGGAAATAAACTCTGCCCTTATAGGTCCCATATTAGGACTTTAAGAACTCCTATGAATGAATGAATGAATGAATACAACAAAAGAATTTAAGAAGTCCTTGGACATTGTCAAGAGGTTCCCCAGAGCCATGTTGACAAGGCAGCAGGCCACATGTCACTGTTGTGATTGAAAAGGAGTGCCCTGCCTGCCTGCTTCCCAGACTTGGGGAAGATTATGTTTCATTACATGGGCAAGCTTGCCAAGGCACAAGTGTACAAAGGGGATCCAGGTCAAAGATGTCGTGCATCAATCACTGTCCAGTTTAGCACCAGCATACGAACACACAGTAAGCAAATTGTGGAGGGGAAGAATCTACAGATCTTGGTTTCTAGGGTCATTCCTAAGAGCAGCCCTAAGGAGGGAATCTTCGCCCTTGACCCTCTCAGAAGAGGCAGCAAAGAGAACATCCTATGTGGAATGGCTACAGCTACAGGTGTGGCTCTCTCTAAGGAATTAGGCCTTTTCTAACCATGTGAAAAAGATGAAAGCAAACTAGCTGCTGTGATCGTCAGCTTGGCTTCCTTAGCCCTTGGTTCTGTGCAAAGTGGTTTTTCACCTCTGAGATCTTTGTTAGCCTCACAACAAAGCTGCGAAGGTGTGTGCTTACTGGCCCCATTTTACAGATGAGAAAAAAGGCACAAAGCAATGACGTGAGTTACCCAGGGTCTCATGGCCAACGTGAAAATCCAGGTCTCTTGACTTCCAGCTCACCAGAAGTGCTTCCCCTTTGTGTTTTCAGTATCTTCCTCCTCCCTCATTTAATCTGGGGAAGAGAGGTGAGCAAGACAAATTCGGGCCCAGAGGGAGCTTATGTCTCATGGAGAGACACTGATGAAAGGACCACACAAATATTGGTGCATTTCTGACCTGGATAAAAGCCTGGAAGGAAAGAGGCCCAGTTCTGAGAGCCTGTGACCGGGAGGACTGACTTAGTCTGGCAAGGCCAGGGAAGGCTGTCCTGCAGTGACATTTTACGTGAGAGCTAAAGGCTGGGAGGCAGTTAACTAGGCAGAGGAGTGGAGAGCGAGTTGGGGCAGAGAGGAGGGGGGAAAAAAAAAGGCATGATGCCCTTGAAGACCAAAAACACCAAAAGGCTGGAACGTGACTAGAAAGGCCAGCCATACAGGCCTTTGTAGGTGAAATAAGGATCTGGGTCTTTATCCTGAGAGCAACGGAAATTCATTCGACGGAAACAGGTCTTGTGGTAAAAGAAAAATGGTCTTGGTGAGCAAGCAGAGCCCTGAGGCTAGGCCCAAGTCTGCTGCCTCAATGCTAGGTGACTTAATGTACATCTCTGCTCTTTCCTGAGCCTCTGTTTCCTTCTCTGCCCCGTGAGAGGAGTGGGTTGGATTGGTTCCTTTCAGCAGTCAGTGCCATGTTTCCAGAATAGAGCAAGAAGTAATGTCTACAAACTTGTAACCATCACAATCTCAAATGTCACTTTCCCTGAGCTTTTTTTTTTTTTTTTTTAAGTAGACTCCATGCCCACTGTGGGCTTGAACTCACGACTCTGAGATCATAAGTCATACGCTCTACCAGCTGAGCCAGCCAGGTGCCCCTGCCCTGAGCTTTTTAGGAGTTTGGGGGTCAGGCTCTTTCTGGGCTTAACTTCACTTGGGGGCTCTTTTGCTCCAGTGCAAGGTGCAAACCCTGATTTAGACATAAATGGGGAAAGAAGTTTGCCATGTCATGTTGTCATAACAGGCTCTGCCTTTCTCTCTGTCAGGGGCAGAAGGGAGATAGTGGAGTAATGGGCCCACCAGGCAAGCCTGGGCCTTCTGGTCAACCTGGCCGTCCAGGTCCCCCAGGCCCCCCGGGCCCCCCATCCGCAGGTAAGAGCCACACTGCTTCACTTGATCCACAGTGTTGCCCTCCTGGCCAACCTCCCCAGAGAGGGCACAGCAGAGGTCTGCCTTGTGTTTTGAGTTAGAAAGTACCAGAGATGCTTTTAATATATTTATAATTTCTCCATAGCTTGGCTCATTCAACTTCTACACAAGAGAGATAAACAATATCCTGACTCTGTTGTAGCATTTTGGAGAACAAATAGAGGAGGAAAAAAAAACAAACATAATTACATTGGTGATGTCATTTATACTTCAAGTGAAAAATAACAGGCACATTTTTCATCAACTAACACCTTTTTCTAGAAAAGCCGTTCATGGCTCCAAGCAATTTACTTAATCCTAGAAGTAAAGATGATGTGGCCGATTTTTCTATCTTATGTGGTGTCGTGAAAACGTCCTTGTTGGTTTACGCTGAATATACAAAGAAACCCTGAAAAGAAATCAAAGTCTGCCATCGAAGAGGGCATAGATACACTGCTTGTTTACCTTGTTTAATTTGATGCGCTAAACCCGTTAGTTTGTTCCCTCGTCAGCTCCAAATATGGCCTTTCAGAGCACATTTCCTGCATAAACACAGCATCTCTAGGTCTGAGAAGACTCTTTACTATGCAGGGTTCTTGGCTCTCAGTTATACACACGGAAACAAAACAATTGGTATTACAATTTTATTCTTAACTTAAAATGAAGGCATTTTAAAATTCTACATTGTACTTCTCCTCCCTGGGTCTATGGGAATATATTCACAACCATGTAATGCGATGGTCTAGAAATGTCATAGTTTGTTAGCTCCTTTCAACCAAATTAAAGCTGGCTCTGAGATTCTAACCTTCCGGGATGCCAGGAAAATTCCATCTCAGGTATTAAGAGGTTCTCTCCACTCCTCTAACTACCTAAAAAGATTTGGGCAAAGATCCTGGGGATTGTGGCAGAAAAACATCAGGGGAGTTCCCTCCAGCCTTTGATCTGCCCTGTTCACCTCTGAGATGCCCGCTATCCCAGGCCACGTGGTCCGAGGGTGCCTGGTGACTGCCATCTTCATGTCATGCTCGGGTATCGGAACATTGCCAAGCCTGGTCCCTGTGGTCCAGTTTCCCAAGAAGTCCCATAGCTGTTCCTTCTGAGACCTTCCTTACCTTATCTCCAAAACACAGGGGGTCCCTCTCTCTCCATGTCTGGAGTCATCTCCCCTCTTCTGACCTCCAGCGCCTTGCTTCTCATATTCCTCATGCACCGCCACCCATCTCAGGAGCTTTTCTCTTCTGAGAACAGAGGGCAGAAAGGCAAAAGTCTTCACACAGTACTTGTTTTCGGCAAGGGCAAGAAAGCACAAAATCTTGCTACCTCCTTGAAATTGGGAGAGGAAAAAGTGAGAAAACAAATGTCAGTTAGTACGACAATAAGTTATCTTGCCACACCTATTTCTGTGCTGTTAAGGGAACTAGATTGGAGATGCATCCTGGGCCATGTGTCCGTGCCCCACAGTCTGTTTATGGGAATTGACTTGACAATCCCTATGGGGGTCCTTCCAACTACACTTGACCCTCGAAAAATGTGGAGGTTAGGGGCGCCAACCCCAGCACAGTTGAAAATCCACATATAAGCTCCTGAATCCCCCCAAACTTAACTACTAATAGCCTGCTGTTGACTGGAAGCCTTCCTGATAGCAGTGGACTAACATATACTTTGTGTGTTATATGTGTCATATACAGTAAGCTTACAAGAAAGGAAGCTAGAGAAAAGAAATGTTATTAAGAAAATCACAAACAAGAGAAAATGCATTTATAGTACTGTGCTGTAAAAAATCTGCATCTAAGAGGACCCATGCGGTTTAAACCCGTGTTGTTCAAGGGTCAGTTGAAGTCCTCTTCCTTGCTTCCGGCATGAGTAATGTTCCCCTCAAGGCCCAGGATCATGAGCTGCCAGCCCCAGGGACCAAGAGCATGGCGCGAGGCCTGAGTTTTCTTTGGGGAGGACTCTCTTGGCCCTTGAGGTATTTAAGCAGTTCACAAAACTGAGGAGAGTAGCCAGGATCTTGGGGAGCGGTGTGGATGCAAAGAGAGGTCATTAGGCCAGCCCTCTGGTCCACCCGATGAAACCGTCTTCTTCTGTCAAAGCCCTCTCTTCGGTAAGGCCTTCCTTGGTCCCTAACAGGATGGGTCTCCTTTCCCTGGGCCCAAGTACATATTGCCTCTCTGCTATGGCCCTTCAATGATAACTTTTCTGCAGATGTGTTTCATCTTCCTTCTAGATAGCAAGTCCTCGAGGCAGTGTCGATGGCCGGTCAGCTTTACCATCCCATGGCACCTGGCAGGTGGGCGGGGCAGGGCTGTGCACCACAAGCGCTCGCAGACATGGGCCATTTTGGTTCTCAGGCTGTCCCCTTGGGTGATTGCATAGCAGGCAAGCAGGATGCAGTCCATTTCTGACTCAGGTCCCCTTCCTGTGCCTTCCTATGAGTCACTTCCTTTCTGGGGAGCCTCCCAGAGTGAAGGGGCTAAAGAAAATGGGGCAATCATCCTGCTCTTTGGAAACTTTTTTTTTGAGGGGGACAGGGTGCAGGGTAGGGAAAGAAGAGGAGGGAGGAATTTAAAAGATAACTTAACCTGGACCTGGGGCCAGTTGGATAATCGTCAAGAATGGGAACAGGCCCCAGAAGTGATTCCTGAGACTGTCTCTGGAGTCTGATAAAAGTCCCACACCCACTCAGGACAAATACATGTCGTATCTGCGCCCAAGATTCTGCACACTGCTTCCCAGAGTTCCAGAACCCCTGCCCCAGATCCATCTTAGAATGTCTTTGGGCTCTGTGGACCACAAGTCAAACAACCCTGGTCTTATCCAGCCCTCCCTTTATAGAAAAGAACTTTGAACCTCAGAGAAAAGGGACTTCCTGGAGGTCACAGAGCTGACCGGTGGTGGCCTTGCCCAGCCCAGAATCAGTCTGTGGCTCCTGGTCTAGAGACCCTTCCCACTTAGCCATGCTAAGGCAGAGTAAGAGCTGGGGATGATGTGGAGACTATTCTGTGGTCCCTCTGCCTCCTCGCAGATTCCCATGTGAGGCCTGCTCCCGCTGCACAGCCAGCAGCGATGGGAGGCAGTCTGGGCACAGATGGAGAGCCAGGTCTTCTGGCTCCACGGGACGATGGATCAGGCAGGCCCGCTGGACCAGCTCTGAGAGGCCGAGGTGGGGCAGTTCGAGTTGCTGTGCCCTTCAGTGGATCCTGGCAGGAAACAGGCAGGGGTAACAGATGCCCTCTGACAGCTGAGAGGAAGCGGCAGGGAAACTGCAGTGGTGGCAGGAAGCAGGCTCCCTGCCACATCCTGTCACCCTCTCTGGAGGCCACCTCTGGTTCTGGTGCCCAGAGCTGTGGGGCAGGACAGTGCTGGGGGGAGGTGGAGGGGGAACTTTTTATCACCCAAGTTACAGAGAAAGAGGTGCTAGGAGGTGGCCGAGGGAATCAAGGCAAAATGCCTCTAGGATGTGATTTGAAGTAACCAAATTACAAATCTGAGTGAGTCCTTCCTGCACCCAGACCAGGTATAAGTGAATCACTGTGGTACCTGGGAATTTCCAGCTTCCTGCAAGCATCAATATTCTTGGACTTTGTCTTTTGATGGCATAGTGTGAAGTCATACATGAATTCAAATCTCAGCCTCACCACTTATTGGCCGGACAGTGGGACCAACGCCTGACCCTCTCTGAGGCCATGGTTCTGGAGGAGTTGTTGGGGTCACAGAACCTTCTCCGATGCCACTCGCGCATCCTTGGTTACAGAACATTCCCACGTCAGTTTCCCCGGGGGTGATAATTACCCAGAGTATTCCTGGCCTGGTGGAGTCTGTGTCTTTCTGGGCTGTGCTGAAAACATCAGAACACGGGACTGGAGCTCCTCCTACAGTGTTGTATTCTTATTTCTTGTTCAAGCAACCACCACAACCTGGTATGAAATGTTGGCAATGCCCGCCCCCGCCCCAGCCCTCGAACTGGCATTCTTCTGATCTGGGACATATCTGTCCACCAGCTCAGGAAGGCTCAAGGTTGTGGGGAGGGTATTCCCATTGAGGTTTCTTCCTCTAGCTAAAGCTGCTTCTTTGGGTTCCTGACCAGACCTTTCCCCTGGAGTCATTTTACTTTCTGCCCTTCTGGAATCTGCCAGCTGTATCCCTAGTTGCTGGCTGCCTTGGGAAGTTATACAACCTGAAACCAGTGACTGGCCTCCAGACTTGTCCTTACTTTTCCAGGAGGAGGCATACTTCCTTCCTTCCTTTGTCAGTCTCTATGTTTCCTCTTTCCTCTCTCCCTGTTGGATGGCTCTTGCTCTCATTCTTTTCTGCCAACCGGGGTTTTTAAGCCTTTTCTGAAGACCTTTTCTTTCCAGTGAGTCTACATTCATTCATTCCATCATCAAGCATGTATCACGTCCCTACTGTGTATCCCACCCTTGTGAATGAAAACGGGTATCAACCTTGCCCTTGTGGAGCTTATATTCCACTGGGGGAGATTGACCTTGATCGGATAATCTCACAAGATACAAAATCGCAAACAGAGATAAGTGCTGTGAAGAAAAGGCATAGGGAACTATATGACATTATCCAAATGAACGTGCCAGAGTGCGAAGATTCAGAAGGCTTCCCTGCAGGAGTGATATTTGAATCCAGATCAGGAGCTAGCTGGAAGGCACCTGAGGAAGGAGGGATGGAGGGTGAAGGAAGAATAATCTAGTAGGGAAATGGCTTGTGCAAAGACCATTTCCTTAGACCAGCGTTCGCGACCTTAGTATACACTGGAATCATCTTGAGAGCTTTTAAAAGTATGGATGCCTGGGTTCTATTCTCTGCATTCTTAATGGAATTGGTCTGGACTGTGGCCTGGACATTAGGACCTTTAAAAGTCTAGGTGAAGACTACTGCCCAAGCAGATCACCCACATTGCAGGGAATACATTTCCTAATCATATATGTTCACGACACTCTTCTCAGTACCAGGGGAGAACAAGTAGGTGGAGCATTTTCAGGCATTCCATTTTCTTCCAGAAGGAATGAAAGAAACGCACCTTTAGATATTCCTTCGTAAAGATCTCACAAATAAGAACAAAATAAAATGAATAAAAAAATAATAGAAGTTGTCAGCATTGTGTTCCTTAGATCCCTGTTAATAATAGTCTAAACAAAAAGGAGATTGTTTTTCTCATACGAGGAGGTCCAGAGAGGTCAACAATGGCTGACTTTGGTTCAGCTTCTAAGTGTCACCATCAGGGTCCCATGCCCCATGAGCCCCTGGTCTTTCCTGTATGTTGGCTTCTCTTCTCATACCTATTACCTCAGGGTTGCAGTGTGGCTGCTGCTGCACCAGGCATGTTGTCTGTCTTCTAGACAGGAAGAAGGAGGAAGCTAGGTCTCTCACCAGCTCTGTTTTTTCCTTATCAGGATAGACTTTCTCAGATGCTTACCCTTCTCCCATCACAGACCTTGCATGCAAGGTCATCTGGGAAGTAGAATGTCTGTCTGGTTTCCAAAGCTTAGAGAAAGGGAACGGAGAGAATTGGGGAAGGTACCCCAACACCCGGTATGGTTAAGGGACCCACAGAGAATATCACCTCCTCCATATCTTGGATCAAAAGAGTCTCTTTAGACCTCTCCCCAGGGCCTACCCTAAGATGCTGTGGACTTTGACCTTCTTTCTGTTGTAAAGGTTGCTCACATCTCCCCGGGGCTGTTTGGTTTTCACTTCCTTTGCTCTAGTAACACAGCATTCTGTTGCTTCCTAGGACAACTTGTGATGGGACCCAAAGGGGACAGAGGATTTCCCGGGCCTCCAGGAAGTTGTCTTTGTGGAACCCCTACGAATGTGAATAACCCCTCCTACAGGGAATCCATGTATGGGTCCAGCTCCCCTCATGTTCCTGTGGTAAGGCTCCTGGGAGAAAATCTGGTGGTTAGCCATTGGGACCTCTCACCTGATCCTCCAAGAGCTTGTAAAAGCCTTTTAATAAACTGATTTCCTCATTATACCTGGTACGCACTCATTATAGGAAATTGGAAAATAAGGGAAAAATAAAAATCTAGGAAACCAAGTTGTCCATTTGGTTGTGGGTCCAACTTGAGGGTTTTTTTTTTCTTTGTCTCTTTTTTAAGGACAAAAAATTATAGAAAATTTTAAGTAAATGCAAAAGCAGAACAAATAGTGTAATAAACCTCTATGTACCCTTCACCCAAATTCAACATGTATCAACTCCTGGTTAATCCTGTTTCCTCTTTATACCCACTCACTACTGCCCACCCTCCCTTGGATTATTTAGAGGTAACCCTGGACATTAATTCATCACTTGAATGGCTGCATAATCATCCATTCATCATGCGGCTGTGCTGTGATTTATTTAACCAGGGCCCTGTTGTTGGGTACTTGTATGGTTCTCCCAGGCTTTTCAGTAATGTAAATAAAACCGTAATGAACACCTTTGAGTATAACAGTTTTGTTAAGACTCCTTTCCAGATGTTGAATTACTTGATTAGATGACATCATGTTTTTATTTAAGTCTCGGGAACATTTTAAATGTTAGAAAATTTTTAAATTGTGGAATTCTTATTGCAAACCCAGACCTTAGGAACTGGGTTGAGAAGATGGGGGAATCAGGACATCCCTCCCGACTTCAGGAGGATCCCCGGCGTGTGATATGCAGACTCCCCCTCCCACTGTTAACCAGCCCAAGGATGGAGATTCTGTGTCCTCTTCCAGCTTTTCCCCTGACCCCTATAGAAGTGTTTTCTGGAATCCTCACCAGTGTGTTCTCTGGCAGATTTTTGTGGTCAACAACCAGGAGGAGCTCGAGAGGCTGAACACCCAAAACGCCATTGCCTTCCGCAAAGATCAGAGATCTCTGTACTTCAAGGACAGCCTTGGCTGGCTCCCCATCCAGGTACCCTGAGGCAGACACTCAGGACATACCCGAGGAAAGAAGGGCCACCGGTTGGGCCTAGCGCAGAGCTTTCTGCAGCCTGTTTCCGTGGAAGGGCTGGGCACGCTCCTCTTCTCTGCTTCTGAGCAGTTCTCCGTGCCCCCGCCCACCACATAGGACCTCCTCTTGGAGGCAGGGTTCCAGACGGTCTCCCATCCCCACACGGCCAGGATGCTGTCCCGATCTGGTCCAGCCTTCCCGCCAAGTGCAGAGCTCTGGGCCATAGGAGAGGGGTGCCTTTCCCATCCGGGAGGAACCCCCCCGCCCAGACCCGGGGTCTCCATCCCAGTGCCAACAACCTGTCATGCCATCCCTAGTAACTGTCCTGTGTTTCTTTGGCCAGGTGACCCCTTTCCACCCTGTGGACTATACTGTGGACCACCGTGGCTCCTGCGGGGATGGAGTCCTGCAGCCCGGGGAGGAGTGTGATGACGGAAATGATGACGTGGGTGACAGCTGCATCAGTGAGTGGTGCCTGCCTCGGGGAGGGCCTGGATGAGGGAGGGCAAGCCCCTGGATGCCAGCTCTGGTGGGTTGGGGTGATCTCCAAGCCAGAGGGAGTACCCCTGGGCTGCCGTGGGGACGGCCCTCCCATTCAGGCCAAATGCTGACTTTTTACTGCCCACGCATATCATTGTGGGTTAGTGTCAAGGGTCTTGCCCCTAGAGAAGCCACCAATCCCTCCTTTTCCCTGAATCCTACTTCTTGGCAAAGCCCACGTTCCAGTTCACGTTCTTTATCAAAAGATAAAGGTGATACAGAGTGAAAGATGAAAGGGAGAAGCCAAGAATTTGCATCAGGACTTTTACCAGATGGAGCCCTGGTGACAAAGGCCTTCCTAGGGGAAGCAGACTTCAGGCTGATGGGATGCTACGGGGACAGGCAGGCGGCACCGCACTGGAGGGTTTGCTTTCCTTCTTCTTTTTTTAATCACGTGACAAAAACAGGAGGTGGTGTGTAAAGTGGGGGATTTGGAGCCGGATGGAGTAGAGTTCGAATGTTCCTAGAGGAGGCTCTCAGTGAGTGGGGAATGGAGGGCAGTTCACAGCTCAAGTCTCACTTTCCTCCACTGAAAATTGGCTGTGTCGGTACTGACAGCTCAGCTCTTTAGAGATGCTGCGAGCTGATGTGCGCCAGGTCGTCTGGGTGTAGTAAGGATTCAACGTCCCTTCACTGAATGATTTTTAAGTCCTTGCTGTGAGGAGCCGGCCTGGCTGAGGGCCGGAGATGTGTAAATGAGCAGCGATGGGCACAGGGACCGAGAAGTGGCTGGATCTCTCTCTCTGTAGCTGTACTTGCCGGGACAGTTCCCGGGATGGTGATCCCCGGCATGCCCGCTTTGCCTGGAGTCCCTTCTGCCCCTGGTGCAGACAGAGTCAAATAGGAGATCACACAGCAGGAAGGAACCCCGTAAAAAGAGGGTCGTGGAAGTTCTCTGTAGACGAGAGCCGCCGTGGCCATCACTTGTGCCCAGTGCGCAGTCTCCTGACTCTCACTCCATGGGAACCCACGGTGTGTCCTGTGAAGGGGAGGTGGTGTCCACGCCCCAGGTTTGAGATAGAGATATTGAGGCTCAGGGAGGCCAAGGGGCCTGCTCTTGTTCTGTTGGCTAACAAGTAGCTGGAGTGGGCTGGAGCTTGGGTCTCCTTATTCTCTGGTGTGGGATTCGGGGGGGCTGAGGGGGCAGTCCCCGGATGCATCTGAAGCTTTATGGGAGTCTGCTTAAGAGGGTGCATGCTCTGGGTGGATCCTTTAGGCCACACAGTCCTTACAGGCTAAGGTAGGCCTGTCCCACCCCAGCACCCTCTCAGGGCTACACTCCCCTGTGTCCCTCAGGCTGTCACCGGGCCTACTGTGGAGATGGTCACCAGCACAAGGGAGTGGAGGACTGCGACGGCTCTGACTTTGGCCACCTGACCTGCGAGACCTATCTCCCTGGGTAGGAATCACCTCACGTGCTATTATGACACCCCTGCCTCCCTCTCTGCCTGCTTCCTCCTCTTTCCTTCACAAATACTTTTTTTAATGCTGCTTATGTTCCTGGTACTTTCTAGACACTGAGGTATGGTGACAAATAGCACAACACATGGTCCCTGCTCACCTAAGGGAGACAGGCAACACACACATAACGACCACGTGCCCTCTGTGCCCTCTTAGGGTGCCTGAGTGCCTGTGAGGCCGAGCTGAGACAGAGAGTCACCAGCTCCATCCCGGACCCCTGGCAATCAGCAATCTCTATGTTCAGCTGTTGCCCCTGGGTGAGCAGCTCCCAATTCCAGTGGCTACCATGACCACATTAGTCTTCTGGAAAGTGGGTCTGGAGGAAGCCCAGTGGAGGATGGAGGTACCAGGGCATTTCCAAGAATCTAAGCATCTGTATAACCTGAATTCTCTGCAACAACTCCGACCCCCAGGGCAAGACTATAGGTGCAGATGAGATCACACCAGCATTAACATCTAATTTTGCTGGCTCATGACTGTTCCAAGAAAACCCCGGGAAGTTAGTACCCCCTTCAGGGACCCCTCTACTTCTATCTGGGACTCTCCAGTGGGTGTTCACATTGACCTCCACGGTTGACATCTCCCAAGCCAGCTGAAGGACACTGGACCTATGAGATGCAAAACCATACCACATTCCCCCTAATCCTCACAGATGTGGAGTTGTATAGTGTTGTAGGGAAAATGAGAAGGTTTTCCTCCCTAGTTCCTGCTTCTCTGTTGGTTCCACAATGGATCGCTGGCCCTTCATACCTCCTAGGTCCCTCAGGAGTCCAGTCTCTTCAGCCTTTGCTTTCAGCCCTATTCCTCTGGTAAGCTTGGACCCAGGCCCTCAGCAGGGCTGGGAAATAGACACCAGTCCTGTCTTTCTGTCACCCCTCTGTCCACTGACTCTGTCCACCCCTCTGTCCTCTGTCCAAGGAATGGAAGGCATTCCTCAATGGAAGGCATTCTCCTCAATGCCCACCCCCAAACATACACCAGCGTCTCGAACCAGGCTGGGGGAACTACAGATCTGTAGTTCCAAAACTCCAAGCACTTTAGGCTTGGCCAGGACCTGACTGTATCTCTGTGTCTGTATGTACTGCCCTATCCCTGAAGTGCCCTGTCCTCTGGCACTTGCCAGAGAGGTGGCAGGTCTGATCTGATTGATGGCTTCATGGAGACAAGTCAGTGTAGATAACTGGACATGGAACACAGGACTGCATAGAGCCTGGGGCTTACCCACTGGTTCACTGTGGTTACTCATGTAATCTCTAGAGGCCTCAAGGGATGCTTGTGAATATGGGTATAATGTGTAACCATCATACATTAGCACTTGGGCTTACAGAGGTATAGGCTGTGCTGTCCAATCTGGTGGCCCCCGGCCACACATTGCTATTTAACTTCAAATTAATTAAGATTAAAAATGCAATTATTCATTCCTACTAACCTTATTTTAAGACCTCAGTAGATACACATGGCTAGAGGCTGCCGGACTGGACCGCACAGAAATAGAACATTTGCATCAGTACAGTATGACCAATGGATCGCGCCTGGAAACCTTTCAGGTCTTGAGAAGGGAGTGATTCTCTCAGAGATGCTGTGTTAAGAACATGGTTACCAACTCTTTCCACCCAGATCCCTCAGCCGGGGATCTCAGCTCAAGGGGCAAAGCCGCAGAGGCCTGAACTCAACTGCCCCAAGCCTCTTACCCCAAGTGAGAATGAGAGCACTCTCTGGCAAACCCTGAGGCCCTTAGTGAGGTAGCAGTAGTGACAGCTGTCTGATGAGGGTGGACCAGAAGTCACCAGAGGTGGCCTCAGAACATGCCTTGGTCCTGAGGCCTGGGCAGGAGCCGTCGTGCCCGCTGCCCTGCGCGCACCCTGACCCATATCTGCCCCCCTCAGGTCATATGGGGACCTGCAGTGCACCCCCTACTGCTACATCGACTCCACATCCTGCCGCTACTTCACGTGAAGGGCCTTTGCGGAGAAGGCAGGCTGCATCCCACAGGATCGGCAGCAGCTTTTCCACCCTCATCAAATTGACTTCACACCCCCCCGGTCCGGTTTCCGTCACCTTTGTGTGACAAAAATAAGGACGAGCTCTTGCTGCTAAGACGTGCTTTTAACTCGGTCCAACCGGAAGAACTTAGGACCACTGCACCCTGTCTTAATCTGAGGTACCGGAGAACCTTCCACATGCCCCTGCTGGGAACCATTTTCCCATTGCTACCATCCAGGCAAATCGCCGACCTACAGTGCCCTTTTTCTTCGGAATGTTACCAACCCAGACCGTGGACTTGGCTCACAACTGTTACCTACGCCTAGACCTGCAGGGCTTTTTGAATTTGTCGTCATCCCATCTGGGTCATGTGGTGGACAGGCCTCCCCACTCCTCTGACCTCCAGAAATGTGGGCATTCTCACCCGGGGCAGCCGGCCGTCAGGTCTCTCCAGGCCTGTGAACCACAAAGCAGGGAAATGAACCCGCCTTCTTGGAGTGGCTCCCAGCTCTGCACCCGCTGAGGAACCCCTCAACTGGCCACAGCCCAGCACAGCCTCATGTGGATGCAGCTCCCCCAAGAAGGGACCCAACTGTGAAAAAGCCCTGAGAAAGCCACCAAACCGGTGCTCTGCCCCTGGGAAAGGGCGGAGGCCCAGCTGGGTGCTCAGCTTGTGAACAGCAGAACAGTGGCCTTCCTGCTTCTCAGTGTTTCCCAAGAGGGTAGCTTCTATAGTTTCACCATCCCCAGCACCACCTTGACCTCGTGGCTCTCAGTACTTGGACCTCTGTCTTGTGAATGCCCCTTATGTCCATCTCTTGTTCAGGAGATTCACCACCAGAGGGTGTGACTTCCTGAGCCTACACTTGGGCAGGCTTCTGGTGTTTCCGGTCCTTAGGAGAATGCCACCCCGGGTCTCCCCATGTGAGGCCCTACGACTGAATACCTGTTCTAGGCAGAGACCATTTCTGTCCTGAGCTCCAGCTCCTGGCTGCCTGCTGACTCCTGTGCACACCCGGTGACCTTCCCATTGTGTCTCTGGAGTGCAGAGCCTTGCCCTCGTGTGCCTGAGCCCCTCGTGTTTCTGCAGGGTCGTTAGTCTGGCATGACTGTGAGCTGCCTTGTACCACCATCTTTCCTGAGTGGGGCTGAGCTTTGTTTTGGAAAGATGTCTCCCCAGTGGCAGACCTCAAATGGGATTTCCTTGTTTGTTACCAGATGGAGGGAGGCTGTTGAGCTTTTGTACAGAGCACTTTAACGTGCCTGAGTCTTGGAGACTCAGCAGACAAGAGCTTCTGGCCCAGCGGGCCATCCCTAGTGGTCTGTAGCAGATGGGATCAACCTGAAGGTGAGGTCTTCAGAGATGGGCTTCAGACAAGAGCTTCCGGCTCAGCGGGCTGTCACTAGCGGGTCTGTAGCAGATGGGATCAGCCCAAGGGTGAGGTCTTCGGAGATGGGCACATTGGCCAGCTGGGTTCCCCCAGGCTCTACTGCACACCTTGGGGGTGATGTTACTCCCATGAAAGCTGCACCTTCATGCTGGGATCTCCGGATATCAAGAAATATAAGCGGTTTGTTTCCCCACTGTGGCTTTTTCTTCCCTGGGGGTTTTGGACCAGAGTCCCAGCATTACTGGTTGGAATGAGGGGTCTGAATTCACTGTTTCTGAGGCTCTGCAGAGGATTCTAGAATGTGGACCAGTCCCACTCAGAGACGAGGGAGGAAACGGAGGTTGAGAGATAGGGAGGGACTTAGCCAAAGTCACAGAGCCTGGTCTTGCTAACCTAGCCTCACCCCAGCCTTATTTTAGGACCCTGTTTAGAATGAGATGGCGTTCTGGCACTGCCCTTGGACCTGGCACGAGGGGCCCTGTCCTGGGTCTCTTGCCTTAGAGGGTACCAATCTGGCCCTCCTCTGGCCATGACCCTCCCCACAGGGCAGGGAGTCTGTGAGGCCAAGGCGACATGCCTACTGGACACCCTTCTCCCAGACCGTGTTCCAGGTACCCAGGAGACCACAGTTCTCACCCAAGCGGTCCTGAGCCTGAGGCCTCTTCCCCAAGTCTGCCTGCCTGAGTATGACCTGCATACGCCTGTAAGCACGAGGGGTGACCAGGGACAAGCTGTGTTTAGGGGTTGCAGATGGGGCTCGGATAGGCGGGCTGGAGTTGCCACAGAGATACACACGAGGCCCCTCTCAGTGCGGGCTGGGCCTTGCTCTCCTCGTGCTGCCACAGAACTTTGAGGAATCTAAATAGTCCATATTCAAACCCAGCCTTCTAGGTCTTTATGAAGGTGTGACTGACAGGTAAGCAGAGAGAGCATATTTAAGAACACTCTGTTAGTTTGATTATAATGTAAATACGTAGACATTTGGTGTGTGAGCCTCCACCTATGCTCTTGTAACCAGATCCCACAATATTAGAGGGGTCTGTCTCCAAGTATTGCAAGGGGGGTTCTGAAAGGCCCTGAAAATAAAAGGGTTCAAAGCCACGTGTTTATATATATGTATATAATAATAGTAGTTCTCCCCCTGTGGAATTGTGAAATGGAGAAATGAAAGATGAAGGAAGATGGGCTGTCCCCAGCCCTGCCCTGAAATGCTAACTGTGGTGGAGGGAGCAGGTTCCCCAGGAACAGGGGCACCTGTAATAAGCAGGCCAGGCGGCCACAGGATAGGTAGCTAGATGTTTCCAGAGAGCACTTGCTGGTCCTGTAGGGAACTGAGGGGCCACAGTGTGGAGGGAAGGACGATGAACCCGGAGTCCTGGCACCTGGGCTCAGGCTGGGTTTGTCGCGTCTCACAGCCTCCATTTCCTTACCCGGAAGAAACTGTAACAAGGGCTAAATTGTCTTTTGGCTTTAACAGCTTGTGGGTGGGGACGCTATCCTCCAGTGGTGACAGGGCCTGCCTAGGAGTGGTGATGGATTCCTTCAGCTGCTCCTGAGGCTGTCACATGGAGTGGCTGAAAATATCATAGGGTCTTCAGAGGTGCAGTTGGGTCGCTAAAAAAGGCTATGCCAGCTTAGATGCTTTTGTTGGTAGGTGGCAGAAAATCCAACTTAAATATCATATAAACCACAGGGTGAAATATATTGGCCAATATAAGGTAAAAACTCCAGAGGTAGGGTGGAGATCAGGCATGGTTCAATCAAGGCTCCCACTCCATTTCTCTGCTTGAGCTGTCCTCTCTGCTATTTGCATCTCTCCTGTTAGTTTGATCTTTGGGGTGGTCACAAGCTGACTGTTACAGTTTCAGGCTTACATCTGCACCCTACGATATCCAGAGGAAGAGAGAACATCTATTCCAGTGGCCCCCAAGACATTTTTTTCCAGAAGCCACCCCAAAATCTTACCTTGAGCCTCATTGCCTGTTTGGGGTCACATGCCCATTCCTGAACCAATTCATATCATCAGGAGAATGCCACCTGCTAACTGGATTACAGCTGGGTTCCTGAACCCACAGGGGCAAAAGCTACAAGAACACTCGTAGCCCACTCCCTGGCGACTCTCCAGAAGTAGATGAGCTGTGTAAGGAAAAGGTGGCTACTGGATGATATAGTGGGGAGCAGAAATGGGGTGAATGGGTGCTGGGTACACAGTGTCCGTCACAGTGGCCATCTCTGGTTTTACTTTTCCTTTTGGCAGGAATAGGTGCTGAGCCACTTGCGGCAAACATTTGGGAAGATTCCTCACACCTAAAAAGCTCTTGGCTGATTCTGATAGGTCCACTCGAGAGAGGCTGCCTCTCCCAGGGAGGCATAGGTAGTGAAAGAGGTGGTGTAGTTTGCTTTTGGGAAAAAAAGGAAGAGGACTGGATTCACGTATCTGGGTTCGAAGCCTGGCTGTCACCAGTGCACTGTTTAATCATCTTGCATAATTTACTTTTCTGTTTTTGTCATCTTTATACTGGGAATAATAGTACCTTATTTTCAGGGTTGTGTTGAATTTTAGTGATTATATGGTTAAAATTTCTGACACCTAGAAACTCTTCAGGGAGGGCTGGGTTTTATCTGTGTCACGATTATTTGGTGACTCACACCAAATGGGTCACCTCTTTGGGACCTGGGGTCTCTTTCTTCCCCCTTTGAGGCTGGTTGCATGAGTCCACTTTTGACGGCAGTTTGGACCACAGCCTTTACTACAAATCAGTGAAAAAGAGCAGTGGTTCTCACACTTTGCAGCACATTGGCCCATTTGATGAATATCACCAGGGATGAACCAACAAAACTTATGCAGACCAACAAAATTAGGTTTGCTGACTTGCAGAGGGAGACCGAACACCAGAGAACAATGGGGCATTTCACCAAACCAAGAAAGACCAGATTATGATAGGATCTGGGGGGAGAGGTGGAGTGTAGGTAGAATGTAAAAGCAGCATTGTGGGGACAGGCTCAAAGCAGAGCAGGCAGTGTATAACGGGGGTCAAGATGAAGCCTGGACTAGGAAGTGGACCCAGGTCCTGATTCCTTGGAAAACTACAAAGTTAGTTGGGAAAAAAAGCATGGAATGTTATGCCTGAAAATCCCTATCAGAATTTCTGTATCTACGGTAGAAACTGAAACTGCTTCTCTGTGTCAAAGTGACTCACGTGGCTCAGGTCTTCCAGGCAAGAGTGGAAAGTTTCAATCTTACTGATAGGATTGCACGCTGCAAAATTTTGTCACAAAAGTTCACCGTGATTTTTGTTCAGGTTGCAGGAGTAAAAAGCAAGGCTGGGGCCGTCACTGAAAGGCGAGCAGTAGTCCCTCAAAAGAGTGATCATGATACGGCAGATCTGGCAGGAAGATTGCTTCCCGTTAACTTTGCAGCTGGCTTTATCAGTGTCTGCTGTGGCACTCTGATGAATGCCAGAAACAGGGCCGACTTTTCCTCTCTCAGTCTGGACTGGTTTTTAACCCTTTCACCAGTAACGGAGGCCCAAGTTCCGCTCAACTGATCCCCAAAGATCCAGGTCAGCCCACAGGCTCCTA